CCTAAAACCCTAAAACCCTAAACCTGAATCCGAAGACCCGAAGCCCTCAGCCCAAGAAGGAGAGCCAGAGGAAGCAGAGGCAAGGCATAAGCCCATCGGGCCTCTGCGGATTGCGGGCCTGGCCACTGGGCTCCATAGTACTACCCTTTTGTCCTCTTTCTTCTTGGGCTCTCATATTAAGACCAAGTAGTAGGAAGAAAGTACATTATTTATAAATAGTAGGAAGAAGGATAGCCTTATTATACACAATAGGAAAAAGGATACTATTATTATAAATACTACATAGTAGGACGAAGGGGACCCTTATTATACATAGTAGTTAGTAGGAAAAAGGGTACCCTTACAAATTAAGGGGCTACTGGGAAACCTAGGACCCTAAACCCTAAACCCTAAAACCCTAAACCTTAGGACATCCCTGGCGGCTGGACCTGCGCCGACTTCCTGGCCGCTTGGAGGACGTCGGTGGGGTTGAAGCTTCCTGCTTAGGGTTTAGGGCTTAGGGTTTAGGGTTTAGGGTATAAGGTATCTTAACCTACCAATACCTACTTATTTGTAAATAAGAACCTACAAAAACGTAGGTTTTGGCAGGTTAATGTAGTCTAGGGTTTCAAACGGAGACCAAAGCCTTAGACTGCCATAACCTACTTGTTTGTAGGTTCCTGCTATAACCCCACATACAGAATGCCAAAGTAGGTCTTGGTACTTCAAAGTAGTGTTTAGAGTTTAGGATTATAGGCTTTAGGGTTGTACTGTTTGGGGGAGGAGTTTAGCTTTGGCGATGCTTCGCGCAACATGGCAGCAAACTCAATCCTGAACCCTAAACCCGAAAGCCTAACCCTGAACCCATATCCTAAAGCCTGACTGAGCCTTGAACCCTAGAGCCTAAACCCTGCGTTTTTGCATTTTTCTGAATGTTTACAAGCAAGAGCAAGACCCCAAGACATGGGTTGGACACATAAACCTGAAACCAGCAAGTGCAAGCCCACGATGTTAAAGTAGGAGCCTCAATAATTACCTACATTATTTTGGGGGTTCCTCATTATACTTATAGTAGAAGGGGCCCAAAGCCCTATTCTAATTATTAAGGCCCCTAAATTCCACTGCAATCCGAATTTCCTTCACCAAGCCTCGGTGTCACATCCCGTGAGGGCCGAGATGGGGGAGGAGAGATCTTTCAATATGTGCATCTTGGTAGCACCGTAATACCACTCATAGATAGAGGACCGGTGTTATCCAGAATAAGGAATATGCCTGCCAGCACATTCCAAACTTAGTTTTAAGAGACGTTCGGTTGAAGACGCGGAACATTTTTGTTCGAGTTTGCTGGCCCTGCCACGATTCGCACTCTCAGCAGAACAGCCATTTCTGGTCTTTGGTCAGAACAGCATATTCTGATGGAGGGCACCCTATCATGCCGGCTCTCTCGGAACGATAAGCACTCAAAGCTTCAAGCACCGTTCTAAAACCGGGAGAGTGCAGCAACCTTCCATCACATCGCAGAGGTACCTTTGGAGGGGTTCCTTATTATAAATTATAGTATAATGGGCCCCAAAACCCTATTCTAATTATTAAGGCCCCTATATTACGGGATCGCGAGCTATGTCACCTACTCCATTCCTCGGGGCCAAACAAAACTGCAAGAACAAGTAGTCGAGCGGCAGCAGTGGCAGAAACTGTCGGAACATCAGCATCACCATGCAGCGAACATCACCATTGGCAAGTGAAGTTACCACAAGTGTAGTGTTGTAGGATCGCTCTCATGCCCCCCCGCCCCCCCTCCCCGCACAGACAGGTGAAGTCACGATCCTATGTTTACCAGTACGAAGGGCATTTGCGAAAGCGTCAATGTCTCGGAAACCACTGCGCCTGTCGACAAAGGTCGCAATCCCCCGAAGCCAGAATATGCGCGCAGACTGGGGGTACAAACAAGCATACATACATATATACATAAATGCATATACAGATCAATAGCTCCGTCGTGGTTTGGCTTTTGCATCGTACATAGTATTCAATCTTCTATAATCGCTCCCCCTTAATATTAAACGGCCCCCCCCCACTGATAAAAGTTGTGAAAGTGTTTTTGTTGTTAGGGGGTATGTTTATCCCTACTGCCACTTGTGAGGGGTTGTGCTCTTGCTCCTGCTCCGGCTCTTGCTCCCGCGCTGGCTTTTGCTCCTGCTTCTGTCGCGTCTCGTGCGCCTGCTGCTGCTTTTGCGGTTCCTGCGGTTGCTCCCGCTGTTACTCTTGCTCTTGCTCTTACTCCCGCCCTTGCTTTTGCTTTGCTCTTGCTGCTGCTCTTGCACGGAGCTCTTGCTCTAAGGGTATTTGGAGCCTTCCCCCCTAATTCAGAATAAAGAATAGGTTTTAAAGGGCAGTGATGGTTTCGTGAGGATTCGCCCCAATGTGTTGTTATTACTAGGGGGGGGTGTTTAGTAAAAAGGTGGAAGCGATTAAAAAGCCGGAAATCCTAATCCACAGGTACAGAGAGCCCTAAACCCTGAAACTGAGATCAAAACAGTCAATCCTAAACCCTTAAACACCTAGAAACCGAAGCCCGAAATCCTAAACTCCATAGCGTCCGTGACAGAAAACCCAAAACCCTCATAGAAGAACCCCCTTTAGTTCCTTTTAGGAACCCTTGAAAAATTCTTAAGCACGAAGTAACCGTAAACCCTAAAACCCTAAACCCTCAACCCGAAATCCAGACCCACACCCCTAAACCCCTAAAACCCTAAACCCGAAACGCGGGGCTGAGGCATGAAGGGACTCCAGGCATGGCCTGCGAAGCCCTTCACCTCTTCTCTCCACCTAGCGGCTGGGTCTTTTTAGGTTTGGAGGTTCAGGGTTTGGGGAGTAGGGTTTAGGGTTCAGGGTTTAGGGTTTGGGGTTTAGGGTTCAGGGTTTGGGGTTCAGGGTGTAGCAGGGCTGCGGGACCAGGTGGTATATACGACGGTGATGGTGAGCGTTGTGGACAAGTACCAAGCACTGACAATGGCATTACGAGTGGAATAAGCAGTAGCAGTTGTAGTGGCGGCAGCACCAGCACCAGCACCGTCACCAGCAGAAGCACGAGCACCAGCATCAGTAGTAGTAGTAGTAGTAGTAGCAGTAGTAGTACTAGTAGTAGTAGTAGTAGTAGTAGTAGTAGTAGTAGTAGTAGCAGTAACAGTAGCAGTAGCAGCAGCACCAGCAGTACCAGTAGCAGTAGCAGTTGGAGTAATTCGTTGTCGTAGTCGTAGTAGTAGTAGTAGTAGTAGTAGTAGTAGTCGTAGTCGTAGTAGTAGTAGTAGTAGTAGTAGGAGTAGGAGTAGGAGTAGGAGTGGGAGTGGGAGTGGGAGTAGGAGTAGGAGTAGG